TTTTAGTACTTTAACTAAAATAAAATCAGAAATATTACCTTGCCAGGTAGCTGAAATAATTTTTTATAAGATATTATATATAATAAGATTTTTATATTTTATTTAAAAAAATGTGTTTTAGTTAACTAAAACCATGTTTCAAGATAAAAACTAGTGTGAGTGCTAAACTTTTACACAATACAAATTACACTGTGGATCTAAATCTTAGAACTTACTTCAGAGTGGTCATCTCTGTCAGTGATGGCTGGGTGGCTTTGAGGTAGCTGGCCCGTCGTGCCTGCATCTTGGGCGAGGGTTTAGGGCTGCTGTCCGAGTCTCCGCTGTCATCCTCTGCCATGGCTTTCACGTAACTCCCGCTGCGCATGCGTCTACACGGGATATCCTCATCTTTCCCAAGTGGAAAGCCTCCCCACTCATCTTGAGGGACCTGCGGGGTCAGAGGTGACACTGTGTCATGAACCTCATCCGAAAGGTGCATGTCACCGTCCAAACTGCCTCCTGTGCGCTCGGCCCCACAAATCACCCATACATACATACACGCACACACATTCTGATCTACACTTCCTCTCTTTGAGCCGGCAGAGATAATTAATGAGGCTGCCGGTGTGAGCTTGCATGATTACACTAACGACGCTTCCCTGGGTAGTTAAGCATCTGTCTCAGTGCAGCTCTCCCAGGGCAAACTCTCATCAATAGGACTCTCTGACGGTTTCAAGAGAAAGGAACGACTCAGAATGACAAATGGGAAAAGCTTTCATTTTCAACTAGTACTTGGTTTTAGGATAATCAAATGCTAACAATCTAATTGTAATAAAGCCTTGACAAATGCTCATTACGACTACATAAAAGCAATAAAGCATGTCTGATGTAATAAAATACACAGTATTGTATGAAACCACTACTTCGAGTGGGAGGGGACCCTTTCTGAAATGGGCCAGGGGCTAAAAAACATAGGAAAAACAAAAACAAATAATAAGCATGTTTAAAGTGAAAAAAGTATGTAATTTTAAATTTAAAAAAATCATACAATTAAAACTTCAACACTTCAACTAACACTAAATAAACTAAAATACTTAAAATAAAAAAATATAAAAATTGTAACACTTTAGTATAGGAACCAGTTCTCACTATTAACGAGTTGCTTATTAGCATGCATATTATTAACATATTGGCTGTTTATTAGTACTTATAAAGCACATATTCTGCATGACCATATTCTACATCCCTAATCCTACCCAATACCTAAACTTAACAACTACCTTACTAACTATTAATAAGCAGCAAATTAGGAGCTTATTGAGGCAAAAGTCGAAGTTAATGGTTTGTTAATAGCGAGAACTGGACCTTTAATGTGACCATAAAACCTTTAGTGTGACCATAAAAAAAAAATATATAATAATAATAATTAAACAACTAGGCTCAATCTCAATTTCCATTATGATATAGCTAAATTTTTCCTTTTTTAATAAATCAAGTAAAGCTACAACTCTATGCCCACGGATGTATAACAGAAGTAGGACCACATTTGGTTTCATTTTAGTTTTCATTGGTTTCACTTGATTATTTGACCTCAAAGAAGCTTGAGCTCAATGTAAACTCAGAGTTACAAAAATACCTGCCAGTTTGTTATAAATGCGATTGTTCAGCACATAAGTAAACACTTAAATAATTAATTTAATTGCATGACCTATCACTAGGTCACGATAGGTACATTCACAAATATCTGTAATACTTGGTGGTAATGTTATCATATAAAAACAAGGATCCACAGTATTAGTTTCATTGTTTAAATCTCTCACAAAATTTCCAAAAAAAATTGATTCACTAATTACTAAAGTTGGATAAATCACAGTGCGTCAGGGAAATAATTGGACAGAATTTTGGTCTTTTTTATCTCTATTTTTAATATAAAGAAACAGAATGGGCCATCATCAATTTATTTTTTAATTATTATGTGGGTCTGGGAACACGCATCCCCCCTCAATTCAAATGCTGCTTCCAAGCAAAAATCAAATATCTATTCAATAAATGTCAGAATGTGAGCATGCAAATTACTAAGGCCAAACAAAACTCATGCTAACAGAGAGCACAGCTATGTGTCAGGTCGGTATGCTGCATATATCACTCTGCATGGAGGTTCAGTTTAAGGCTTTAAAAGAGATTCTCGGCTGGCATCGAGAGAAAACCCCACTTTAAAGAATTTCACTGTGATTATATGAATCAGCGCAGAGCTTGCGTTACTGGGGAAACGGCTGGCCTTGACGTCAGGAAGTGTTTAAAAGGCAGTCAGAGGAAGAATGACTCCAGTAACACTGGTTCTTTGCCCACACATCCACGCTCACAGACCCGACAAACACAAAAACTTCCTTCAAAGATACCACCAACACCCACACTAGCCTTTAGTCAAGTGATGAGCATAAAATGAGGATAAATCCTGTTGAGCAGACCTGGGTACAAGGCTCAACGGAGTCCACACAACAGATTGGGCCTCACTTGATCATTTCAAGGGATGAAAGACTGTGTCCCACATGAGAGCTTCCATTTTCTTCCATTAACAGAATTTCAGTTTATATCTTTAGGTGCTTATTCTAGCCTCATGTAGCACATTTTTGAAAGTGCAGTAAGCAATGTTAGCAGCTAGCTGGAACTTTCTCCAGACAAGGGCTGTGTGATTAATTGAAATAACATTAGTCTTTTTTGATATGGCAATTATACATTTTAAATTACATATACAGTATGTGCTATGCGTTTCAGAGTGAAGCATGGCACTGTGGTCTTTTACACCCGTGCAGCTCCTGATTTAGCGTTTTCAGTGTCTCAGAGTGGCTCGGTTCTCAGTAAATGCCTCTTCACAAACATCATCTCCGTATGTGTTGGAAGCTTGTGATAATTTTAATAAACTTTTAATTATAAATTCATACACAAAATATATAAACGTATAAAACATATATTAGTATATTATTTTATTATTATTATTTATATTATTTTTCTTAAATACTGTTTATTTTACAGCAAATAGCAATATTTGTTTAATATTTTATATAATAACAATAATATCATTATTTTATGTCATATTGAAATATAAGGTAAAACATTTTTGGTCACATTGTGCAGTTCTAGGAACAAGCAAACCTGGAGTTGTACTTAAAAAGAAAGAAAGAAAGAAAGAAAGACCACAATCGCAATGTTTCACTATTCAAATCTAATCGAATCACTATTCGATTTTTTCCTTCTTAAATAGGAGCCCTGCCAACTACCATCCTACAAAAACTCAGTTAATAATACGATTATATTAAGAAAAGTAGCTGCACATCATCTCAAATGTTGCAAAATGTTATGAAAACCATCTGCTATTTTGCTAGCATTCTCTCACAACTAACAACTGAACTCAAATGATCTGCTTCATCTACCATGCACTCAGATTCCTGTTTACCATATATGGCCTTCCCTGTGAATGCATAAAATGACTGACAGGCAGACAGAAAGGGCCTCAAAGTGTTCTGACTGGCAAGCCAAAGTCTGACTATGGAGAGCTGTCACAGAAACAGGTGCCATTCTATAAATATATATATATATTTATTTATTTATTTTTATTTATTTATTTATTTTTTTTTCTTTAAATATCTTAGATCTTTAATTTAAGGATGTGACCTATTCTAAAATTATAAGAATCTCTGAAAACCCTATACTGATCAATCACTATTGTGATCCCCCTCAGTGCACACATACAGATGTACAAACTCTCAAATGAACAAGCGTGAAACCTTGTAAATGTCTGTATAATGTCTACATCAACATAATTCTAACTTGATATCAACAGCAAATCACAACTTGCTGAACAAGAACAGCACAGTGCAATGCCCTGTCACTCATGGTTACTATGGCAACTGGCGTCCAGATTAAGCCCTGAAGAAAGATGCCAATTATTCTTTGTACTGACAGAGCATGATAGAGAACATGTGAGACATCCTGCCAGCTCAATTTAGCCTCTGAATTAGTATGTGGCTGCCCACGTGCAAACTCTCATTCACAGTCCGCTGCAGGTGGTCTAAAGATCTTCTCTAGTTCGCTCATGTAATGCATGTATAACGTAACGGGTTATCTCATTTGTCTGTTCACTCGGACTATGAGGACTGTGCAGCCTTACGTACAAGAGGAATAGAAAAAAACTTAAAATAATATCAGATACAGTGAGTTCTCTCTCAACCTAATTAAAATGTTGTTTTATTTCTGACATAGTGATTAATAACAATCATCATTCTAATAATTGATACATGACTTGTAGAGATAAAAGCACTGAGAATGTAGCAATTATACAGAAAAAAAAACTGTAAACAAAACACATTTAAGTAACAGCACAAGAGCTAGAGTGCTGTTGTACAGAGTGTCAGCACTAGTGTTTTGGCAGGTATTTTTGTCCAATTAGATAAGAGGACCACGGTCTTAAAAAAACATTTTTTGATGAATCCAGGGAGTAGTCATTTGTAATGCCATATTAAAAAAACAAAAAACAAACACATAATACCTATAATACCTTTTAAATCCTAATTTAAATTCTGAATCTGAATTTAATTTGAACACAATTTGAAGTGAATTTGAATTGTGGTAGCAAAAATGGTGATTAAAATGCCTCCTATATAAATTTGCATTCAGTTTACATATTTCAGGTTATATATTTCTACATTTCAACACATTTAAAGCTGCAGTTCGTAACTTTTGCCTCTCTATCGCCATCTCTGTTTGAAACATAAAATTGTGAGTTATAAAAACTCAGCAACTCTTCTAAGAACAAGCTACGAATGCTCCACCCACACACAGCATATAGTAGCCTGGTATTCTTTCTGTTTACGGACATGACATAACCATGCATCAAACTGACAAATGACATCAATTCCCTGTGAAATCGGACACAGCATCTCAAATGATAATAAATCATTATTATGCAAATCGAGGTAAGGTAAGGAGACAGTTTTGAACACTGTTGTCTTATGTACTCAATAACCAATTTTTGTTCATTTTTGACCAAAAAAAAGGTACATACTGCAGCTTTAGAAAATAACTTGCAGTTTAGAGTGAATTGCTCTTCTTGTCATTCTAATTCAACTTCCTGTGGTGTGTGGCCAATTTAAATTCACATCAATTCTTGAGCCAATTCTTTAATTCTCAATCTTGCACAAATCTTTTGCATAGGCTATAGGCTAAGCTAGTAGGCTAATCTGCTAACAGTATACTAAGCTAGGACCTATCTGTTCATGACACCAGTTATAAAGGTCAGAGTCTATCCTCTTCATGCACATCCACAAGAACACCACTCATCCAGTTTGCTCCATCCAAACCCACCACCTACACACACGCACATGCAAACACACAAGAGTCCAACAAAATAAGAACTTGGTAAAAACATTGGTAAAAAAGTTTTTTTTTTTTCAGGTTTAGAGAGGGAAATAATACCAGTCAGAGATCAAATGGATCCAAACAGATGCTTGTCAGCTAAACAGAAAGTAAGGCAGCTAGTGGGTTGCACTTACTTCTCAGCAGAACTCAAATCAAAACTGGAGGCTCTCTCCAGTGGTGGAGGAGGAAGAGGAGGGGTGGTGGAAAGGTGGAGGTGGGTTAGGTGAGCATGTGGGTGTAGGGGAAAATCAAAAGGCTTTTTGCATACCTGCAAGAATTGGCATGAGCGCTCCTGCTGACAAGCCTCTGCTTTCACCAGGGCCTTATCTACATTTACCGAGGCCTTCTGGTAGACTTGACGTGCTCTGCTCACCGTGAGAGAGGACGACCACGAGCTCTTCTTCACGAGATGTGAAGCGTCCATGCTCAGTGGGATACTCGTGCACGTCAAGCACTTGCCCAAATCATTGCTGCTGCGGGAGTTTTTAAGTGCCTGGTCATTGATGGTGTTGTAGGCTTCCAAGAAGTATTGTGACTGCGACTTATCCGGGTGACGGCCCATGGTCATGACGCCCGGTGGTCCATGGTGAAACAGGCAGGCCTCGCGTTCCAATTCATCTGAGCTCCAGTAGCCAGAAGGTGGCGTCCTGTTCTTGGGTTCAGCCGACTTGCAGCGCTCCCGGCTCTTGCTGCGCTTGCGGTGCCGAATAGCAGGGGGTTCTCCGTCGGGGCTGGCCTTGCCTCCGTTGATGCTTCCCTTGCCGTGGCCGTGACCATGGTGTGGGCCCTCTAGTGAGTGGGACTTGGTGAAGAGCTTCTGAACTGAGTGCACCAGGTGCCGGATTCGGCCAGGGCTGTCGCTCCGTTGCTCCAAGGCTGCGGCGGCACGCTTGTACTGTAGCGTGTGATAGCCATCACGAGGCACTGGGAGTTGCCGGTCGAACTGATCCGACAGAGTGATGGGGATACGCTGTTGGCCCTTGTTGGCTGGAACCCCTCCCCCGGTGTAGGGAACCACAGCGGTCTCGTC